GAAGCAACCCACATCCAAATCTAAGGCTCTCCTATTCCTGATGCGTTAGCTTAAATGCAAATTAAAGTACAAAAACCCACGTTAAATATAAAAGGTTTCGTGTTTCAAGGAAAGCTCTTTGGCTCATTTGTAATCCCTGCATTCCCTCTGCTGTGATAATAGTGAAGTAATTGATCAATAAACGTTGCGGCATGAACATGCGTTACATATGGTTAAGCTCTAATTAAGAGATTATTTGAACAAGTCTGTTTTGTTCAAGAAGAGCTCAGCCCTCTAGTGCAGACCATGCATACTAAACATGACATCAGCGCTGCCTCAGTCCAACACACTTCTGAGATAATGCTGACAGAGATATTTATTTTCACTGATCCACTTTTAGACACCTTGGGAAGTAGTCAGGCATTATTGATGCCATACTGTCTTGTATACCCAAAAAAGTTTTTAATAAGCTTTAAAAATTAGACTGCATAAACAAAAACAGTATTGGAATGATTTCTGAAGGATCATGTGACTCTGAAGACTGGAGTAATGATGCTGAAAATTCACAGAAATAAATTATATTTTAAAGTATATTAAAATGGAAAACCATTTTTTTAAATTGGAATAATATTACTGCTTTTTTCTTTGTTTTTGATCAAATAAATGCAGTCTTGATGAGCAAAAGTGACTTATAAATACTATACACTACCGGTCAAAAGTTTTAGATGGGTAAGATTTTTTATGTTTTTAAAAGAAATATCTTCTGCTCATCAAGGCTGCATTTATTTGATTAAAAATACAAACAAAAACAGTCATAATTTGAAATATTATTACAATTTAAAATAGCTGTTTTGTATGTGAATATACAATAAAGTGTAATTTATTCCTGTGATCAAATCTGTATTTTCAGCATCATTACTCCAAGGCTTCAGTGTCACATGATCCTTCAAAAATCATTCTAATATGATAATTTGATGCTCAAGAAATATTTATGATTATTATCAATGTTGAAAACAGTTTTTTTTACATTTTTATTTCATGATGCTATGATGAATAGAAACTAAAAAAGAACAGCATTTATCTGAAATCTAAAGCTTTTGTAACATTAAACTCTACCCTTCAAAAGTTTGGGGTCAGTAAGAATTTAAATTTAATTTTTGGGGGAAAGAAATGTAATAAATAAATACTTTTATTTATCAAGGATGAGTTAAACTGATCAAAAGTTACAGACATTTATAATGTTAGAAAATATTCTATTTTAAATAAACGCTGTTCTATTGAACTTTCTATTCATCAATTGTAGACAACTGTTTTCAACATTGAAAATAATAATGAATGTTTCTTGAGCATCAAATCATCATATTAGAATGATTTTTGAAGGATCATGTGACACTGAAGACTGGAGTAATGATGCTGAAAATACAGCTTTGATCACAGGAATAAATTACACTTTACTGTATATTCACATGGAAAACAGCTGTTTTAAATTGTAATAATATTTCACATTATGACTGTTTTTGTTTGTATTTTTAATCAAATAAATGCAGCCTTGATGAGCAGAAGATACTTCTTTTAAAAACATAAAAATCTTTCCGATCTAAAACTTTTGACCATTAGTGTATACAGTATATATATATATATATATATATGAAGAGTTCAGATGCAAAAGCCTCTAAGTGCCATTTGAAATTTTCTTCTAGAATGATCATTTTTATCAAGCTTGTATATTTAAGTTCAGTGATTTCACATAATCGCAATGAGAATTACCTATTAATTGTTATTCCACTTAACTGTCACCGTCCCACAGGTGGGACGTTTGCCACTATATTTTTAAAACAATAATATCTTAGTAAATACCTTAAATAATATTGACAAACTATATATCATTTGAAAGCTTACTATCTCTAGTTTCCATATTTGGTGACTGATTTTCAAAATATTTTACAGAGGAGCCATAATTTATCAATATAAAACAAGAATATTTTCATACTCATAAGGCGTGTTCAGACCTTTATTTTAAAATAGCAGTAAACATGAAAAATCATGAAAAAATGGTAGATACCTCAGTTTGTTTTCATGCCAAAAGTTCAAAAGATAGAATCCATTCAATTATTTTGGAAAAAAAGGTCTGAAAAGTTTGAAATATCAAAAAAAATTAAAATAAATTCACCATTTGTGACGTGGCATAGCTATGACTTACATGCGTGTTCTTTGTATGTGTTTCTTAGAGGTTCAATTCATATCAAAATCTGCCAAACTTCCCATGCTACTTCTGAATAGGATCTCTACTTCAGAAATTGTATGAAAATTGTGAAAATAATGGTTCATATCACTCAAAACACGAATGGAAATGCAGGCGCCCTTATATGGGCAGTAATGGAGTCTGGTTGTGCCCTAGTGAAAAAGTTTGGTACTGCGCTCAAACAAAATCTTACTGAAAGCTCATTTTTTGAGATATCAACCTAAAATTTGAAACACAACTTGTTCAGATTTTTGGCTTTGATCTTTCTGCCATTTTAGAGTAGCCCAGGTTTTGAAAATATATATTTTATGTAAAATATGAATAATTAATATTTTTACATTGTACATTTCCATAAACTCAAACTTCTATAACTTTTTTTTTGTTTCACTTTCTTAATTTATTTCACTTCTACAAAAATCTGCCAAATGTCTTCTTTAAAACAAGACCAATCATATGTCTATATTCCAAAGCATTCTTGAATTACAACCATTTAAGTTCGAAATGTGCATTTTCATGTCTATTCAAAAAAGGGGGGGTGACAGTTAACAGGTTAAGTGAAATTACTGAACTTAAATATACAAATTTGATAAAAATCATCATTAAAGAAGAAAATTTCAAATGGCATTAAGATTTTTTTCCATCTGAACTCTTCATATATATATACACACATGACCTACAACTAGTCAACACAGACCAGTGACAGAACTAATAAACTAGCCAAAAGTGTAAATTGGATCACTCAACAACATGTCTGAGATATTTCTGATCCCAGTTCTGATCAGATCATTTAGGAATGGGACAGTTTGTTCACTGTTCCTTGACTGATATATTCTTTCTCCTTTTCTTCTCTCAGTTGGTAACGGCCTACAGAACCGTACTGCGAGATAAAGAGAAAACTCAGGTAATTTCATATTCAGCCAATGCTGGAGAATTAATGACTGTAGTTTCCTCGTCGCTCGGGGGATGTTTTCCTAATGTTTTTCCTTTAATGAGTTGCTGTATTTGTGCTGTGAGGTTTGAGTCTGTCATTCATCTCTGTCTGTGTGTCTCTCAGGCCATCCTCAGCCAGAGTCAAGATAAAGCCCTGAGGAGAATAGGAGAGCTCAGGGAGGTTCGTCTTTTGCCTCTGGCACACACATTAATTCTTCATCACAGGCTCTACCGTAAATGTTTTTCCACCTCTGATATCTCTATTACTCCTCGCTTCACACCGTATACTTAAAACAGCATTCGCAACGCAGCTAACGTCTGTGATGTGGCATGTTTTAGAGACATTTCATGATTTTGTTTCTCTGGTTTTGATTGGATTGAGATTAGACAGCACACATCAAGTATTTAATATACACTACTGTTAAAAAAAAAAAGAATTCAGAAGGAAATTAATACTTTATTCAGCATGGATGCATTCAATTTGATCAAAAGTGACAGTAAAGTCATTTATAATATTAGAAAAATATTCAATGTTTTCAATGTAATATTAGAAAAACTGTTTTCAACGTTGATGATAATCAGAAATGTTGTTTAAGCATCAAATCAGGCATATTAGAGTGATTTCTGAAGGATCATGTGACACTGAAGACTGAAAATACAGCTTTGCATCACTAAATTACATTATTCAGATAGAAACCAGCTATTTTTAAATTGCATTAATATTTCACATTTCACAACATGACAAGATTTTACTGTATTTTTGATCACATAAATTCAAAAACATCAAAATATTAGGGCTGTGCAAAGATTAATTGCGATTAATCGCATCCAAAATAAAAGTTTGTGTTTGCATAATATATGTGTGTGTGCTGTGTATAATTATTTTGTATATATAAATACATATGCATGCATGTATATATTTAAGAATTATTATTTTATTTATACAAAATAATTATACACAGCACATACACATATATGTATGTAAACACAAACTTTTACTTTGGATGCGATTAGTCGAGGTTAATCTTTGCACAGCCCTAAAAAATTTTATATAAACGATTTTTTTTTCTATATTGAAATGATTTAATGTGCTTATGTATCCTTAAACCGCCAGTAAAGTATGAGATCATCAAAACTCAGTAGAAAATGCCAATAGAATTGGGAAGCTGCTCTAAAACTCTTGATGTGACGGCGAGCCTCGTATCTCCTCCTCAGGAGCTCCAGATGGACCAGCAGACCAAGAAACACCTGCAGGAGGAGTTTGATGCTGCCCTCGAGGAGAAGGACCAGATGATCACTGTGCTTCAGACTCAGGTATGCCTTTATATCCTATTACTCGAGTCATTTCACGTGTTAACGGAGGTGATAGCGAAGCTGTTTGTTTTTAGGTGTCTCTCTTGAAGAAACGACTACAGGCGCCTGGAGGTCTGGTATCGTCAGAGCTTGAGACCTCTCAGTCCACGGAGGATGCGGTTGACGCGACCTCTGACCCTCAGAGCCCCTTGAAAGATGGTGTGTATGGACTCTCTAGTGCACGTTTAACATGTTTCTACACAGAAGTTGTCTTTAACCTGTTTGTTTGTCTTTTGTGTGTGTCCAGCAGAGGTCAGCGGAGAGCCGGGCGGCACGGTGGACCTCGAGTTGCTTCAGAAGCGAATCAAAAGGCAAGAGAGTCTCCTGCAGAGATGCAAAGAGATGATTCGCTCCAGTAAAGAGCGCTCCGCTCAGCTGGGCAGCGAGAACGAGGTTTTACAGCAGCAGCTGCAGGAGAGGCTGCAAGAGCTTGAGAAAATGAAGGTATCGACACACAAACTGAAGAATATCTAGTTTTTGCTCAGCTGAGTTTGGTCAGGGATTTATTAGTTGGTGTTTATCTTTATTTATTTATTTTTTAATTTTAATCATATGTGGTTTATTTTAATTTCTTTTATTCAAACATGGTTTATTTTATTTATTTCTGAATTTATTTTATTTAAATCTGACTTATTTGATTTGATTTTGTTCATACTTGGGTTATTTTATTTATTTATTTATTTTTTTGTTTTATTTAATGCATAAATATTATTTATTTATTTTATTCATAAGTGGTTTATTTTATTTTTAATTGTTGATTTTTTTCATACATTTGTATATTTTATTTTATTTATACTTGGTTTATTTTATTTTTAATTTCATTAATTTATGGTTTTATTTATTTATTTTATTTTATTCTTATGTGGTTTTATTTAAAAAAATATTCATACATGATTTTTTTCATACTTGTTTATTTATTTTATCTTATTCATACTTATTTATTTTTGTTTAAATTTTTTTCATACATTAGTTTATTTAATATATATATAAAATTTTTTTTTGTTTTTTTTGTTTTTTAATGTATCATCAATTCTTGGTCCTGTCTTTGGTAGCGCACGTGTGTGTGTGTGTTAGTACTTAACTATATTTTGGGGACAAATTTGTAACCAGAAGTGATCAAAACCTGACAAAATCTCCAAAAACCTCCCGTACTCATTTGTAAATCTACTATAGAAATAAATTATTTAAAAATGCAGAAAGTTTTGTGTGATGGGAAGGATAAGGGGTCGGATAGTGTAAGGGGACAGAATATACAGTTTGTACTCTATGAAAACCATTTTGTCTATGGAATGTCCCCATTTAGATAGTTAAGAAAATGTGTGTGTGTGTGTGTTGGAGAGGTAACGGGTGGAGTGCTGAGAGTGTGTGTTTCCTGTGGATGTGATGCGTTTGTGCTGTGTGTGGGAACGGTGCTCAAGGGAGACAGTGAGAGCAGAGGTCAAACAGCGTACGGACACACCGTCACACTCGCTCACACTAAAACACACCAGCTGACGCTCAACTCAATGATTTACTCTTCTTTGCTTTACTTGACCATTAAATCATTTCAGATTCATGTGAAACACTGAGGTTCTGCATTGCATTAAAGGGGTAGGAGGAAACTAGATTTGTACATTTTCTGAAGACGATGGAAGTGGTGCTTGCACATGCAAAACACAATGCTAGGGTGTTACTTGTTTGTCGCTCTACCTTAAGGTCTATACACTGCAAAAATGATTTCTTTCATGAGTATTTTTGCTTTGTTTTAGATATCCAAACATTCTTGAATCAAGATATATTTACTTGAAAAGCAAAATTACAGTGCACTTCTGTTCTGTTACTATGAATGGGAGAACATGCAACACGCAGTATGGCAGAATATGTCCCACCTTCTAAATAAAAGAGCCGATTGCCTATTGGTAAAGTCGTGGGGTCATTGCAGCTGCTGTTAGAAGCTCCGGTTGCTTTAGAAATGGTTATAGTTCTGAGATGAACTCTTAGGACTGCACATGTGCAATGTCTGCATGATCCAGCCTGAAAAGTGCAGTTTTTCTGTCATGATTTAAGTTTATATTTTAAGCAAAATGTATTATACAGTTGTTGTCAGATTTCATTGGTGGTTTCAAATATGAAATTTAATTGTAAGTTTGATGAACAGCTTTGAAGAATTTGATGTTTCCCCATTCAAAGACATTGGAGCTGAACTTGCATGACTGAAACTGCGGCGTTTCAAAGATCACATGACTTGCCTTATTGACTATGACTTGCCTTTTTTAGGGAGTTTTTCTGAAAAATGTTAAGTTAGTTCATTCTAAAACAAGAACAAGCATCTGCTAATGGGGAAAGAATAATTTCCTCTTTGAATAAGTTTATTTACTAACAGTAATATTTAGTAATAATTTGTCTTGTTTTAAGTGTAAACTCGTTTCATTTTTAAGGATTTTAATGGCCTTAATATACCTTATCTTAATACAAGCAAATGCATCTTGATTTTAGATATTTGTACTGGAAAACAAGACAAAAATATTAAGTAAGAAAATCATTTTTGCAATGTATGATTTTATTTTTATGTTGGCTATTTTATCACCCACCAGATCAAAATTACAAGTTAGATCACTTTTCTTATTTCTTCTCAATAATCTGTGTAGTTTAGAGGAATCATTAATGTCTGAAGCACAAAGTTTATTAGAAGTTTATTCAGATTTCAGAAAAGACCAACAATATATTTTAAAAAAAGCATTTTTTTTTAACTAAACAAAGCATTTTATGTGATTTTATTCCCATTTATTCCGTACTGTTTTAGTTTATTTGTTTTTTGAGTTGTAAGTGTCAAACTCTCTGGTTCAGGAAAACCAGCAGGAAACAGGAACGTTCCCTGACTGAGTGTCGTTCTGCGTTCGAGGCGAATCCGCCACAACCACTGGCTGCTGTCCCGACTGTAATTGAGGTTTGATTGTCGGTCTGGTGTGGAGACTCCAAGGGCTGCTGTGGTGTGTGTGTGTGTGGCGGGAGTTCAGCGCAGCCGGTGGAGACATTGAAAATTATTCACAGCTTCTTGGTTGCTGTTTTAATTGAATCTCCTGGTCATTAAGTATATGTTATAGTAATCTGTAAGATCACGATTAAAGCATGTTCTTGGGCACATCTCAACAGAAATATGAGGGAAGACAGCTTAACTGTATGGTTACTGATACCATTTTGTGTAGACAGACTTATTGGATGTGCAAAAAATCTCTGAAAAATTTCCTTTGACATCCAACCAAACCTATTTTTCCACATTCTGGAAATCAGTTTCAGGCCAGTACTTTTCCAAGTGAGGTTGTCTAGACCAGCTGGCTCTGGGGTCTTTATGATAGATGCTCAATAAGTGTTGATGATTATTCTGAGAATAATGTATTAAGATCCATCGTCACACACTCATCATCATCATCATCATCATCTGTTTACCAGGAACTCCACACTACAGAGAAGACGAAGCTGATCACACAACTGGGAGACGCCAAGAACCTCATCGAGCAGCTGGAGCAGGACAAGGTGAGCGAGACGCTAACAGGACACGCTTCATCTCACTCCTCAGAAGGGTTTAGCTATGTTGTGTGTCCGCCACAGGACTGTTTATGAGCCAGCATGAACTGAAGATTACAAATTCCACTGGCCCTCTAAGTCAAAGATGAAGATGAATTATCCCCGGAAAGGCTTTTTAAAATGATCGCAAAACATATTTCCTGTGGGTCTTTCACTTTGTCACGTTTGCATATACAAGTAAGCCTGGATATATTGCTTATTATTTTAGGATAGTCATCAAGCAGGGTCCAAACTTTTTGCCACATCTGCCACTGGTGGGTGAATTGAAATATCAAAATAAGTTTACAGACCATAAAAAACAAAAAAAGTATATATATATATATATATATATACTTTAAATAATATACATTTATATACAATATATGAAGAGTTCAGATGCAAAAGCCTCTAAATGCCATTTGAAATTTTCTTCTTTAATGATGATTTTTATCAAACTTGTATATTTAAGTTCAGTAATTTCACTTAAATAACAATTAATAGGTAATTACCATTGCCATTTAAGTGAAATCACTGAACTTAAATATACAAGCTTGATAAAAATGATAATTTTAGAAGAAAATTTCAAATGGCACTTAGAGGCTTTTGCATCTGAACTCTTCATATATATATATATATATATATATACGCATGAATATTATTTAAATAATAAATAAAATAACAATAAAATGAACTGAAAAAAGGCAACGAAACAGTATTTTTCTCACAAACACACACACACACACACACACACACACACACACACACACGCACACACACACACACACATATATATATATATATACTGTATATATTTGTGTGTGTTATATTATATATTATTCTTGAAATTTATGTAAATGTATATTATTTCTATAATATTAATTTATATATATATATTAATTACATTTTTCAATAATAAAATATAATATTACACAAAATTAAAATATACATTTTCATTTTCAGTCTATATTTTATACTTATTTTTATTTATTTTTATTATTTATTTATTTGGTCTTGGTAGAGTGTGTATTTTGCACCTTGTGATCAAGAAATAGATCAAGTCTTTGAGATGATTTAAAATATGGAGAGCTGTCTGTCTGCTTCTGAGTTGTGATCAAATCAGTCATGTTGTGTTTAGCATTTGACCTTCACCCTGCAGGATAGAGCTGATTTCCTCTTGGGTCACTGTATGGAATGTGAAAGAATGCAAACATATGTCAGAAATTATTAGCGAGACAGAAATGCTGTAGAGGAGCAAGTACCTGTTAGTGCTATAGTATTTGAACATAATTGAAAGCAGATTTGCTGAAAGAAGTAGCTACAATTTGAGGTTTCATTTCGCTGGCTCTTCTTAAAAATCAGCAAACCTATGATATCATAAAAATGAAAAATTGCATGAGGATCAGAACAAAATATAGCTTTTATTTACTAAAAATCAACAAGGATGAGTAATTTGTGTGTAATGTATACCACTACCCCTTTAATACATCATTTTGAAGGGAATGGTCATTGCTGAGACGAAGCGTCAGATGCATGAGACTTTAGAGATGAAGGAAGATGAGATCGCTCAGCTGCGCTCCAGACTCCAGCAGACCCTCGCACAGAAAGACGAGCTGCAAGAACAGAAAGAGAAATCCGAGAAAGCTGGTGAGTAAGATTATCTCCTTTCTCTTTGTCCCAACTTTGTTTCTACTTGTCCTAACTGCACTTTATGTGACTCTTTCCAGCATTTGAGGAGCTGGAGAGAGCCCTGGGTGTGTCCCAGCGGGCGGAGGAGGCACGCCGTCAGCTACAGGTGAGCATGGAGGAGCAGGTGAAGCAGGTGGAGAAGGCCAGCGAGGAAGAGAGGAGAAGCCTGCAACAGGAGCTGACCAGGGTCAAACAAGAAGTGGTCAACATTATGAAGGTGTGCATGCTTATTTGATCGCTTATTAAAAGATTGCTTGTTAACGGGGTGTTTCAGAAGAAAAAATAAACAAACTGTTCAGTTTTAAGTGTTAAAGAGAGCGTGGAAAAGGGGACTAAATGTTGACAGTTTGTGTCACAAAAAAGTGTGACACAAACTAGACACACATTAGTGTTGTTTGAGATGAGGAGAAGCATTAAAAATATAGTCATACAGGAAACAAAAAACGTATTTTGCATTTTGATATGTTCTTTTCTCTGTCCTCATTTGTACTCGACCTGTTTAAAGTTATTTTGCCTGGAAAAGCCATCAATCCACACTCGGTGTCGCATTCATCCTGAGAATTGTCTGGATGAGCGTTTTAACGTCCATGACTGCAAAGTTCCCACGAAGGCTGTGTGTTTTTGTAGATATGCACACCTTTGCTATCTTCCTCTGTGTATTGGAATATGATTCATTAGCTAAATGGCAATAGTAAATCAAAATTGACTAAATTGATGCCACATTTACAGCCCGCCATTCTTTCTGCATGTTTCTGAGATAGGCTCCATTTTTCAGAAATTCAGTTCTGTTTCATTCATCATGACCATCATCCATGCCATAACAATGAAAATCTCTGTTTCGCTTGCCAATTATTCATTGAAGAGTGACATTGAGATATTTCACATTCTTATGGTGAACCCATTGAGTTTATTCATGAGAAAATTTAAAAGATTGACTGTCTGAATGTGATTCATTTTATTATATTTATTTAATATAACTATTTTTTTTAGATATAGCCCACTTTTTTTTCACCATAAATGACATTTAATAGATTTTTAGAAAGGTTTCATGTGGGGATACTTTATGTGGGAATCCGTTTTTATTAAAAATTAAACTGAGATATTTTATATAGTTATTTTATTGTTAATTGTTTTTGTATTTTATTATTTAATATTTAGTAACCAAACTCCATCGCACACCTGCAGGTGATAGGTGCGTCGGATAATAAGACCAGACTAGCTAGTCGTTTTAGCAGATAAGGAACTCCTGCACACTATCGTTACTTGCAATTTAAAATTAATGTTTATTCACACACAACGTTTCAGTCACATGACCTTCATCAGGAGTATACAAAAGTATACAAAATATATATATATATATTTTTATACTCCTGATGAAGGTCGTGTGACCGAAACGTTGTGTGTGAATAAACATTAATTTTAAATTGCAAGTAACGATAGTGTGCGGGAGTTCCTTATTATTTAATATTTAAAACAATGCAATATAAAGTATCGCCATGAATGTAGCCTTTAGTGCTGATGTGGCAATAAAGCAAGCAAACACAACGAAATAAAATGGGGATAATTCCCCATCCTCTCTGACCATAGTTTCAATACATGGTCTAGTTTAGCGATGGGCCCATATCCTGCAGAGTTTAGCTCCAGTCTGTATAAAACTCGCCTGTAGCTTTCTAGTTGTCCATAAGCCCTTGATTAGCTTGTTCTGATGTGTTTAATTAAGGTTGGAAATAAACTCTGCAGGATAGTTGCCCATCCTTGGTCTAGATGGACTAGGAAGTAAGTTTTGCATTGTGGACGTAAGAGTTTTGTTAACTTGTCTATCAAATTTAATATTTTCCACGTTTTCTTTTGTTTCAGAAGTCCACCGAGGACAGGATAGCAGAATTGGAGCAGTTACACTCAGAGGCTATGGCTAGCAAAGAACAGGAACTGAGTGCCCTGATCAAACAGGCGGTGGTATGCCCTGATTTTCGTTTCTGTGTTACCTGCCGATTAGTTCATTGAAATATTAGCTTGGATGTAGTAGTTAATCCTCTTTTTTTTTTAACCTCAGGAGCAGTGTCGTGAGGAGATGTTGCAGTCGGCAAAGGAAAGAGAACAGCAGGAATCTCTCGCTCTGGAGGAAGCAGAGCTGCAGAAATCTGCAATTCAGTCTGAGGGGGAGAACAAAGCCAAGGAACTACAGCTAGAGTTGGAGTCTGCCAGAACGGTGAGTTTATATGCCACTTGATCTGAGATTAGATCAACAGGATATCCTTATTGTAGTTGCATGGCCAAATTATGGCATATAACTACATAGTCCGCATGAATGAGGATTTGAATGAAAGCAATGCCATATTTTTTGCAATATACATTCCTTTAAAATTGTTGTTTTTCTGTTTTTACAGAGAATTCAAGAACTTGAGAGTTGTCTGAGTAGCCCAGAGAAGGATTACGCCAAGTCGGATGATCTCTCTGCGCAAGTGGAAGAGCAGAGAAAGAAACATGAGGCTGAAATAGCTGCTTTGGAAGAGGCGCATAAGCAAGAACTGGAAAGGACAAAGACAGAGCTAATAGCAGACCTCAACCAGCAGCATGATGTTGTTATGAAAGAGCTCATGCAAAAACACAAGGTAGAGATTGAATCTATTCTGAAAGACAAGGAGGAACAGTTCCATTCTCATGTGGAAGACATGAACAAAAAGATGCTTGATAAGCTGAGTGACAAACAGACAGAGATTGAGACCCTGTCTTCTGATCTCAATGAACTACTGAATATTAGGCAACAGTTAGAAGAGAGGCTGTCCTCTGTGGAGGCCACCAGTGAAACCACAAGACAAGAGTTTGAGGAAAGACTTAAGGAAGAACAAACAAAATATCAGGTGGAGATCGAAGCTGCGATACAGAACCAACAGTCATTTGCAATGGTGGAGAAAATGCTGAAAGAACAGATAAATCAGCTGAAGACTGTGTTGGAGGAGAAGGAAAAGGCACTAGAGGAACATGTGCTCAGGGAAAGGACTTTGCACGAAAATGGAAATGCTCAGTTGGAGGAACTTCATCTCAGGGCACAGTCGAATAAAGACGCCCTTGAGGAATCAAGATCTCAGATTAGCACACTTACAGAAGAACTCCAGCAAACCAAGAATCAAGTGAAAGATCTTGAGCAAACCCTTGAGGCAGTGCGTAAGGATTGTCAGGAGAAAGGAGTGTGTCTTGAACAGAAGACAAATGAACTTCAGGAACTAGTGCAGAAGATGGAGCAAGTCAAGACGGACCTATCTGAAAAAGAGAATTTGCATTCTGCAACCTCCAAAACAATGCAAGATGAGCAAAACCGCTTGAGGAAGCAGCTGGATGACCAGAAGAGTTCTCACGAGAAGAAACTTGAGAACATCAGGAAAGACATGGATTGCAAGCTGAAATCCCAGGAAAACAAAATGGAGAAATTCAAGCAGAAAGTCAAAGAAGCACAGGACAAGTTGAAGAAGAAGCTTCAGGATCAAGAGGAGAATGCCAAAGCGGAGTTATCTAAGATGGTTCAAGAGTTAGAACGGAAAGACCAGCAACTGAAGGAGAAGATCCTTGAGATAGCTCAAGCAAGCTCTGAGGGCCTCAGCACAAACATGTCTGATTTGGAGGCCAATCACAAGGAGCACTTAGACAAGCTTAAGGTGACCCATAAACAGGAACAGGAAGACCTTGTTCGAGATTGGCAGGAGAAACTCAACCAACTTGAGGAGGAGATGCAAGAAAAACATGCCCAATCTTTGCAAGATAAAGTCCAAGAGTTGGAGGAGATCTCGCAGCTGCTTTCAGCCAGCAGGGAAGAAAAGGAACAGATCATGAAAGACATCCAGAACCTCAGGGAGGAGCTTGCCATGAGGGAAACCACTGTGCAGAAACTACAGACAGAGCTCAGGGAAGCAGCAAGCAAGCTGGAAAGTTTGTCTGAAGGGGAAGGTATACTTAAAAGACAAGTCGAAACCATGGAGAAGAATCTAAACCAGGCCTTGAATGAACGCAACCTTCTACAAGACGAACTGAGAAAGGCTGAGGAAACTAGTAAAGAGAAATTGCAGGGCATATCTGAAGAGTTGATAAACACTCGGCAAAAATGTAGTTTGCTTGAAACATCCAAGTGTAAAGAGGTTGAAGATCTCCAGGGGACACTAGCAGAAAAAATGGCTGAACTTAAAAATAAAGAAAATGAATTCCAGACGCAGTTGTTTACCATCACAAAGGAGTTTGAACAGTGTTTTCAGAAAGCACAGGATAAGTTAGATGGTTTCTCTGTTGAGCTGTGTAAGACAGTTGAGGAACGAGTTAGAGATTTACAAAACCGGGTTACAGATAATCAGAATAAGGTTACATATCTAAAAAACATTATCATGACGAAGGACAACAGAATCAGCACTTTAGAGATCGAGAACCGTAACCTAAAGAGCTCCCTTGATGAGGTAACTCTTGAGTTTAGTGCAAGTTCAGAGACTCTGAAAGCCTTAAAAACCGAAATGGAGTCTCTGCAAAACCATGCAGAGAATCGCTCCCAAGTACTTTCTGAGAAAGACCTTAACATTGAGCAGCTTCGCAAGGAGAACAAAAACATATCAGAAAATCTCAACGCAAATGTTTTGCAAATCAGCAATCTAGAATCAGTCATAAATGACTTGAAGACCCAGTTATCGAGTAGCGTAACTGAAAAAGAGGAAGCCATATCTCTGCTGAATCAGCAGCACAGTGAGGACAAGGAGAGGGTGGGGGAGAAGGTGGAAAGACTAGATAAAGAAAATACCTCGCTTCGAGAGCAGGTAGACTCACTCAGGAATAAGTTCTCTGAGCAGAAAAAGAAGTTCAGTCAGAGTCACAGCACTGTTAAATCTCTTCAAGAAAAAGTTGCAGAAATGGAGAGACAGATTTCGGAGAAGGACGAACAACTTCAGATGCTCTCCGCCAGCGTTGACAATCACTCTATTAGTAAGTCCGAAATGGACCAGGCACTAAGTGAGAAAGAACAGAGGGTTCATGCCTTGACCTCAGAGCTGGAAAGCTGCTCAAAGAAAGTTTGTGATCTGGAGGAGCAGCTGGAATTGCGGACAAAAGAGCGGGAACAACTTGCAGCTGATTTGCAGCAGCAACTTAACATTAGGGAGAGCCAAAAGGTGGAGTTGATGAAACAGGTGCAGGACGCTCAGGACCAAAGCTCTCAAAGTGGTGCCCTGATACAGAAAACTGAGGAAAGTCTTCAGTCTTTACAGAAAGAAGTCGAAAGAGCCAAGCAGGAACTTGAAACCCAGAAGAACGACTTTGAGAGGGAGAAGGCAGAGATTCTGAGGGCAAAAGAAGAGGCTGTCAATGCAGCTCAGGAAAAGGCGTACTCTGAGACGGCTGGTAAAGTAGCCGAGTTGAAGAAGAAGGCAGAGCAGAAGATTGGCATGATCCGTAAACAGCTGATTTCACAAATTGAGGAAAAGGAGCAGGCTATCAAAGACATGCAGATGCAGTTGGAAGGCATCAAGCAAACCCAGACTGAAAAAGAAGAACGTATAAAGTCTCTAGAGGAAATCGAGAAGACAATGGAGGAGTCCACCGCAAAATTAAAGGAAGAGCATGCAAAACATCTACAAGAATTGCAGCAGAAAGAAGACGAGGAAAGACAGTCCTCTCTGCAAAACTTAAAAGATATGTATGAAGAGAAGCTTGCTGTTATTCTTAAAGATGCGTCTGCAAAAGAGGAGCAATCTGCTTTTGCTGCAAGAGAAACTTCGTCCAGACTTGAGGAGCTTGAGACCAAACTTGCAGAGTCTAATGAACAGATTACAAACTACCAAGCTGAGGTAAGTCGCCTTAAAGCAGACCTGCTTGAACAGACAGTTCGAGTGCAAGAGCTCCAACAGACATGCCTGGATCTTCAAGAACAGATTAAGGAGAAACTGACTGATCAAGTAGAGAATGAACAGGTTTCTGAAGTGCAAATGACCTCTAGTAGATTAGGAATGGAGCCTGTATCCATGGAAAGCAAGGACACTTTCAGGGACCAAGACGATTGGACGAGTCAAAAGGACTTGTTGGTGAAGGAATACGAGGAGAAGCTCCGAGATTTACAGCAGAGGCTCGAAGAGAAAGAAAATCAGCTAAAAGCACAACAGAGTTTGCCTCAAGGAAACGGGGAGACTGATAGTGAGTGCCTAATCAACAATACAGACACCTCAGAGAATGATCTTCAGATAAAACTGGTAGAGGCTGAGAACGAGAAGCAGAAGCTCCACAAAGATTACACCAGACTACAAAAAGACCTTCGCTCGCTACGGAAAGAGCATGAGAAGGAGCTGGATTTCCTGAAAAAGGAGATGGCTGAGGAAAACGAGAAGAAGCTCAAGTAAGATTTATGCGTTACTTTTTTTATTTTTTATTTTATGGCGCTTTTCCACTGCCTGGTACGGTACGGTTCGGTACGGCACGCTTTGGCGCTTTTCCAATGCATGTTATGGTACGGCACAGTTCGTAATAGGTACGGCATGCTTTGGTGCTTTTCCACTGCATGGTATGGTACGGCACAGTTCGGTATGGCACGCTTTGGCGCTTTTCCACCGCATGTTATGGTACGGCACAGTTCGGAATCGGTACGGCACGCTTTGGCGCTTTTCCACTGCATGGTATGGTACGGCATGGTTCGGTATGGCACGCTTTGGCGCTTTTCCACTGTCTGTTACGGCACGGTTCGGTACGGCACGCTTTGGCGCTTTTCCACTGCATGGTACGGCACGGTTCGGTACGGCACGCTTTGGCGCTTTTCCACTGCATGGTATGGTACGGCACGGTTCGGTACGGCTCACTTGTGGCGCTTTTCCACTGCTTGGTTCGGTACGGCACAGTTTGGTATGGCACGCTTTTACCCCTTTTCCACCAAAAAAAGAACTGGTTCGGAACTGGTGCTGGTTCAAAGTTGGTTTGGACTTGGTTCAACTTGCGAACCGCTTCAGAACCTATTTGTTTTTCCACTGATTAGAGCGCCCAGGGAACGACGTCGTTACGTCACTGTGTGCGTCGCCATACGTCTTAGCTAGAAACGCTTGCAAATACAACATTACTTTCGGATTATCTCTAACTCGTATACCAAGAAAGCTTTAAAAACAATTGAAATATGTAAGTCTTTTAATCTTTTCGTTTGATATGTAATTTTTTCTGATAAGTTATGTACCCCTGTAATTGTGTCTTTTTTTCTTTCCATTTATTTGTTCTATATTGTGACTGTTTTCTTCTTTGCTTATAATGTCTTCAATAAAAAAATTGCAAAAATAGAAACGCTTGCGTTAACTTCAAGCATAACAATTACAAAGGCGGACTTCATCGTGTTTCTGCAAATGTTTCTCTTGGCTTTCCGATCCTTTATTATGGTCAGAAAAGATGTTTAGGACACATCTAAACCCGCCCCAGACCCCGACGTAAACATGACGTGGTAAAAGAACGGTTCTAGTCCAGCAAAGAGTTGCCGCTTTGGAACCAGTTCTCCTGGCCGAGAACCGGTTCTTTGGCTGTCGAAACACAAAGAACTGGTTCGCGCGGAGGCACCGGCTCCGAACCGGCTCTCAAAATGCTTTGGTGGAAAAGGGGCTTTTTGCTCTTTTCCACTGCGTGGTACTGTACGGCAATGTTCGGTACGGCACACTTTGGCGCTTTTCCACTGCATGGTACGGTACGACTCGGTACGGCTCACTTGTGGCGCTTTTCCACTGCATGGTACGATACGGCTCGGTACGGCTCATTTGTGGCGCTTTTCCACTGCATGGTACGGTTCGGTACGGCTCGCTTCGGCTCGCTTTAAATGGTACCACCTCTGTTGAGGTTCCAAACGTTACCGCATCGATACTAAAATGTGACTGAACACACTGCAGATCACTGATTGGTCAGAGTCAGAGTGAATCGTCACTACCAGCGTCATTGTATTTGCAAAACATCAAACCCGCTAGATCTAAATAGCCAGTAACCGCGGTAGAACCTGTTATAAAACTACTTGCTTGACTTGCTTGAAGAAAAAAGAAATAAAGAAAACTTCCAAAAAAGGAAATGGCTGAATCATGGTCAGTGAACGAAGTGCAGACGATCCTCTCGTTGGTTGCTGAGGAGCGGATAAACGATAACGGTCAGACTATAATCCCACCCACTTTGAAGCGGTACTAACTGCTGTGGAAAAGCAAACCAAGCTAAAGCGAGCCGAGTCGTACTGCGTAGTGGAAAAGCGAAGCGAGCCGAACCAGCAGTGGAAAAGTGCCATTAGTAACAGGTGGGGAGTATTTCATGTTACTCCTTAATGTAAGGAATAGGATGCATATTTTCTATGACATCATTCTTCCCAGGGTTCAAATGTTTGCTGATCTTTTTTTTTTTTTTTAAACAGACTTGAATTGGAAGACATAGAAATGAAACACAACTCTTCTCTTAAGCAGTTAATGAGGGAGTTTAACACCCAAATGGCCCTGAAGGAAAAGGAACTGGAAGGTTCTGTGAAGGAGACCATTGGTGAGAGGAGCATATTACAAAAGTACTGTTTATTGCTCATGCTACCATGGTAATACTGTGTTTTCCGGACACTACTGTGATGGGTATAATACTATGGGGTTCTTTGTGGTAAGGTGTAGATATCATGCTATATGAATATGGTAATATTAATATTCAAATATTAAAAGTTATTGCTCACCTAAAAGTGAAACTTTGTTAGCGTTGGTTCAAATGTAAATTCTTTATATTAAACGTTGCATTGTGTACATTCTGCATGACATCAGGACAAAGAAATTTTACATGTTTTTTTATATGATGTAAGTAAATGATGATGTAAATGAGTAAAACAAAAATATTTGTTAAATATACTGGGGGTAAAAAGCCAAGTATGTCTTGAAAAGCATTGTGGACATAACAAAACAAACTGTCTTTTCATAGTTGCTCACAGTTACAGATGTGAAATATGAAATTCAAAATTGATTTACCATGTGTTTTCAATCGTGTCATGTGATCCCTCCAGTCTGAAAATTAGTGTTTTACATTGAGTGATGGTAACATTCCTATGTCTTCTTACTGTACTTTCCTGTTTATTATTTCCACACAGAGAAAGCTCAAGGTGTTGAATCTGAGCTTATGATTAGCCATCGAGATGAAGTCAGTCAACTTCAGAAAATGATCGCTCAGAAGGAAGAAGAGCTAAACAAAACGGTTCAGCGTTACGAGCAGGTCCTTCAGGTACTGTAAAATAAAGCAAATTAGTATCTTTTGTATTTAATTGCGAGTTATTCGTTAATGGCCAGCAGATGCTTCAGTATAGAAGGAATATTTTTGTAAGGAGTTTATAGCGTTTGCTAATTCCACCACATAAAGTCAGGAAGTTCAGGTTTCAGCTCATCAGGAAACACTTACCTCAGTCAACTAGCACCTCAAACTCCCCCTAGAGCTGATGAAGACCTTATGCTGCTTACATCCATCCTGAGAGAGAAGAATGATAACTATTTGTAATAGGATTAATACCACATCTTATAGATCTAATTGTTTACCCATGCATTTTAAGACCCAAGTTTATTACCTAAAAATGAATATTATATGACAGCATTGTAAAATCAATCACGGATTCACCTTTGCTCAGAGTTTGGTCTTCTTGTAGAGTCGTGAGGTGGAGATGGGCGACCGTGTTTGGGAGGTGCAGAAGGAGTTAGAGGATCTTCAACAGAGGAGTGTCAGCGGCCCACAGGTACAGAGCCTCGGTTTACACACCACAATTCAATGTGAATTTTATTTAAATTCATAATTAAAAAAGAATGCAATTAGACCTACACTGTGACCGCTGAATTAATCAATTTATATTTATTTAATTAAATTGATTAACTCTTTCCCTGCCATTGATGGAATTTCCGGCGATCCATGTTATCACTGTATACAGTAGGGGGCGCTATTATGCATCTTCTGAAAGACTACTGGATCTCATGACCCTCCATCTTGAAAGTACATTAGCCAAAGAGGGACATACCCGTTAATTAAAGCTTCGCCTTTCGCGTTTACGTTTCGGTTAACACTCATGGACGAGGTCGAATTGGAAGCCGTGTTAATCTTGGACTACATTGGCCACCGTAGGAGTTAAAACGAAAGCGGAATTGAGAGGAACAGAAACTAATATTCACTGGATGGTCATATACCTTTTCACCACTAGATGGGGGTGAAAATCACACAGTGTAGCTTTAAATTAAACTTACTCATATATATATATTATTTTGTTTGTTTGTTTATAAGCAGAGGCTCTGTATGTTCAGATATTCATACAACAAAATAAACTTTTGTGATTAAAAAAAATGCTGGCGGTGACTGGCAACTTTTTCTTTTTTAAAACATGGCGGGGAAAGAGCTTAAACTAAATAAAATCGAAAAAATCTTTGCCATTAACCTGAAGAATCAGTGTTTGCTCATGTTATGTTTTATATTTAGTCAGCTTTGACAATAATTCCAACATACAAATTGACTTCAAATGACTGCTTAAATTTCCATATGGATTTTGATTTGTAAATAAATGAATGCTGCCTTCACACTCTATCGGGATTATCGTAAATATGAATTTAAGTGTGGACATAAATAAATAGGCCATAGGAATGAATGTCCTGAAAAGGGTTGTAATGTATCCCTGAGAAAGAGGCCTTAAAAAGTCTCTGTTCTCCATGAACCCCTCAGAGAGCATCCCGAGCTGTTAGATTTATGCCACAGTGCTCTCAGGCACCGAAAACACAAGGACCACTTTATCCTGAACAAGGCTCAAAGTTACGAAGCGCTTGCTCTCAGAGACGTGAAACACCTCTGGAGCCCATGCTGCATATTTGCAGGCTGATGTCACAAGTTTTCTGTGGGCAAACACCACAACATCTATTCTAGATATAAATAATTGTTAATATTTATGTTTAAATTGTGCAGTCATGTGACCTGCTGATTCTGTTTTGTGTTTCAGGGTCTTGATGAGTTACAGGTAGGTTTTATTTTCATCTATTTGTCTGATTAAGTCAAGTTTTTGGAAAGTCTAACTGGTTGAAACACCAGCATGTTTTTTTTAGGACTGCCGTCGTTGGTTCACTGCAGTTTTAAAGAGAAAATACTTAGCAATGGTGTTGACTTATGAATTTGCACATGGTTTGTCTTAAAGCATATTAAAACAAGCCATAAACCAAATTAAAAGCTGGATTTTCACCACAGGGGGACTTTAAAACCAAGACTGTGTACTCTAGCATTAAAAATGGTTGTTTTTTCCCCAAAGAAATTAAGTGATTCAGCACGGATGCATTAACTTGATCAAAATGCTGTTCTTTTGAATCAAAGAATCCTGAAAGTAATGGAGAAATTCAGCTTTTGATTGTAAAAATATTACACAATCTTGTATTTATTTTATCTTACATTTTGATAACCCTCTGTGAACATAATAGACTCTATTTCCCACAAAAAAAAACAAATTTTGACCTCTAGTCTTTTTCTCTGTCCAATCAGGTTCAGCTTGCAGAAAAGACAACCCTGTTGAGCGAAGCCAGGCTAAAAGAGCAGGAATACCATGACAGGGTAAGTGAAGATGTATACTAACAGAAAGACAGAGAGTTTAGGAAGGTGGGTGTCTCTGTACCGCTAAACCGAATGTCATTTTTCATGTAGCTAGCAATAAACCCTGTTGACAGTTTAAGTAACTTTAACTAGCTTGTTCAGCGGGATCTCTCGCTTTGCCATGTCAGTAGTTGACCTGAATGAGAGAACTGACTGTAGAGTTTGCATGCTTGCACAGAGCATGTTTTAGGCCTAAGAAGTGTTTAGCACACAAAGACAATGTAGAAGGCAAAGAGAAAGAATGAGAGGAGCGTTTACATTCCCAGAGCTCCTGCACCCCTTTAGCTGTGTAAAACCGAACCGAGATTAGATTCATTGCACCGCACATCTGTTTACTCTTATTTCAACTTTACAAACAGTCACAGCAGCGCTCATGCTGATTCTCTCACCCCACACGACTGCAAACTCACACGAGGAGATGAACACACCGAACATGCCTTTATTTTTTATAACCCGGCTTCACCCTGGGCCATACATGTTGTTAATTTGAGGGAAGTTATTACTAATTTTAAAGCTATGTCACATTTGAAAACGGCATTTTTTTTTATTTCAAAGTGCTCTGTCCACATTAGCATTTCAAGCATTTCCCCCTAAAAAAGTCCTTAAATCACCTAACTGTGCATGCACACAACGCAATAAAAACTTACTGAGATACAGAGACCAAACATAATAAAGTTCTTCTGGCATTATCATTTTATTAGCAAAATATCTCACCACTTATTGATATTTAGTTAGTTAGTTAGTTAGTTATTTAGTTAGTCAGTTAGTTAAAGAGCAATTGCCCTCATGTTTTGACACAGGACAGCAATTGCAACTTCATGTTCTGTCATCTTTGCAGGAATGTAATATGAAGGTTGTACAAAATAACGTTTATCTTTATCAACACTGTGAAAGTGAATAGCACACTGGTATAAAACTGGGTACAATATGTGTCACATGACTAAACATGCATCATTTTTTCGAATATCTGTTTTCAGTCCACATGGACACAGTATTTTCAAATATATCTGGATTATTGTAGATGTAGACGTAGATTGCAGTGGGATTTCATGACTAGTTATTATGCCTGATTGAATTTCTCATTTCCTATTTTTTAAATTCCTAAAACCTTTATACAACTATAGACTCCAGCTTAAGTTCACTTTAACCCTAAAACCGTATTCTGGACAAATGTGGGCAAAATAGTTTTGATTTATTTTTAAAAAAATACTTCCCTTGATCTAACTTTGCCTCCTGAAAACACACAATTTTTTTTTTGACTCAATTCTACAATGTTAAGTGGGTGAAAAAAAACCTCCTTAATCTATTATTTGGGTCATAAATGGGCACCCATAGAAATGAATGGGAAAAACTGTAATTTAGAGCATTTGAAAATAAGCCAAAATAAGACACCAGGTGACGGCAAAGTCACTTCATCTTTAGGTTTTAGCTCTAAGAACTTATTGGAATGATATTTTAATGTAGTTAAAAAAAATAAAAAATAAAACCTAAATATAGGCATAATTTACATTTACAAAAGATGGTACTTTTTGAAGTAAATAAATTCAAAAATACCCCCAATAAATAAAAAAAACACCATAAATGGATAGACAAAACTTTATCGAAAACAGTGATATAACATCATAAATTAGGATCACACCTGAGTCCTCTGTGCCCACATTTGTCCACAATTACAGGATTAAGGGCTATAAAGTGAACACGGTTTGAGGGCTACAGATCACTTTTTCTCTGCATTTATTTATTTTCAATAACGGTCTTTATTCTCAATGTATTTTCAGATTCATGCTCTGGAAGACAAAATAAGACGCTCCCATAAAAACACAGTGGTGACTCACCTGGGAAGCACATATCGAGGTAAATAATCCTAATCGTTTTCCACAAACATGGCTTTTAAATGCTATGTCATCTTCAATCCTTCTAAAGCCAGCTGTTATCCAGATGTCATTTACTGTCTTATTTATCTGTTTGTAATATGAATTTGGGGGTTTTAGACACCTAGTGACTGTAAAATGCTTGTCAAGTATCTCCTGTAGTTCCCAGAGGTTAATGAATGATGTGGAACACTGACCCTTGGCAAACAAACCTCCGCTTCATCTTCACTCGCTCAGAGCCATCAGTCTCCACAGGAGAGCCGTGCTTTAACACCCTGCTATCAATCATGCACATATGCAGACCTTAAACATATGGGCAGCCAGAGGCCGGTGTTTTGGGGAGATCTGCCCCTCCACAGTCCTTCCCTGCTGGTGTAATAAAGAGCTCATCTCTGAATCTAATGGGTTTCACAGACCGTGTTTCTCCCCAGTTCCCACAAATGACCCCAGATTCAGACGGTCGTCTCAGAGATCCGCAGCGTCTTTTGTTCTTGCAAAAGCAGCGTCATTATCAGTACCAAAATAACATCAGAAAGAGCGTCATATGTGTTCTGGATATAAAAATGTGAAATGTGGACAGAATTTGATCAGCTGATAACTATTATTATATTATATATTAAGACCCTTGATCCTCACCTGACTATGGCTTTGTAAACTTCATCCATGATGTGGTTTATAATGGACTGTGGTACAGAAACAGTGACAATGTTAGACACTCTTGGCTTACTCTGGCTATTCTCTGCTGTCTCAGACGACGATATGTCCCGTTTGAGCCACCGTAGCTTCTTCGAAAGGGAGGGGTGAGCAGTGCAAACTCGCAGCCGAACCACTAGGTGTCGCTAAAAAAATACACACTGCACCTTTAAAGGCAAAAATTTAAGTTTGAGTAATTCACATTTCCTTACAGTGCATTGTGAACACTGATTCATGATGTCTTTAAATATACACCCCTAATATACACCCCTATACATAAATATATGTTTTTTAAAGAAACGAATACTTTTATTCAGCAAGGATGTATTAAATCGATCAAAAGTGAAAGTAAAGACATTTATTAAGTTACAAAATATTTAAATTTAAAATAAATGCTGTCCTTTTAAATCCTGAAAATAAAAAGTACCTTGGTTTCCACAAGAAAATCAGCACGACAGAAATGCTTCTTGAGCAACAATACATCATATTCTAATGATTTCTGAAGGATCATGTGACACTGAAGACTGGAGTAATGATGCTGATCACAGGAATAAATTGCAGTAGCCCCTCAAACCGTGTTCACTTTATAGCCCTTAATCCTGTAATTGTGGACAAATGTGGGCACAGAGGACTGATCCTAATATTTATTTATTATAAATGTAATATCACTGTCTTCGATAAAGTTTTGTCTATCCATTTATGGTGTTTTTCTTTATTTTGGGGGTATTTTTGAATTTATTTACTTCAAAAAGTATCATATTGTGTATGTAAATTATGCTTATTTTTAATGTTTTTTAAAATTATTTTTTTAACTACATTAAAATATCATTCCAATAATTTCTTAGAGCTAAAACCTAAAGATGAAGTGACTTTGCCGTCACCTGGGGTCTTATTTTGGCTGATTTTAGAATGCTCTAAATTACAGTTTATCCCATTCATTTCTATGGGTGCCCATTTTTGACCCAAATACAAAACATTTTTTTTTTTTCACCCACTTAAACTTAGGAAAACTTAGGCAAAGTAGCCAAGTCTTGTACCGCTCAGATCAAGGGAAGTATTTTTAAAAAATAAATCAAAACTATTTTGCCCACATTTGTCCAGAATACGGTTTTAGGGTTAATAATAAATAATAATAAAATTTCACAGTATTATTCTTTTTACTGTATTTTTATCAAATAAATGCAGCCTTGGTGAGCATTCAAAAGAGTTTTTTTTCAAAAAACAATGAAAAACATAATTTCATCTCCGCATCCTCATGAATTAATCAAACTTCCTAGATGCATTTTTTTCAAAGCTTTTTGTAATGCTTTCTTCAGTTACTTTATCCGCAAAATAAACATGAAATTCTAAATTCGTGCCAAAGAATACGATACGTCTTTATTTTCCCTTAGAAAGCTGTCTTAGGTTTGAAACAGAGCTCTAGTCATCATCCTCATAAACCACATTAAATGTCCTAAATTATTTCCCATCCATCTTTGCATGCAACTAAACATCCGCTCACTCGCTTTATACACATACAAATCTCGTCCATGTATCCGTCAGCTTATCTGTGTGGCCTCCACATTAAAGGGAGAGTAGTTTATAAAGTAGTTTATAAAGTTTGACCTTCTCCTCACCCTTCAATAAACGCTCGTTCTCCCTCAGAAATGACCTGTTTTGTGTATAATTCTTTGATAGAGTATTCATTGTTTTCTATATTATTGATGTTTTTTGTTCATTGTGCAGTCAGCAGTTAAAGCATGTGCTAACGGTTGTCGTAAAGCAGGCCTCTGTATGGATGTGTTGTTGTGGAGATGAGACTGACGTGGCTCGTGTTTCGTCCCTGTCGGCCCGGCTGGGCTGTCCTGAGGTCAGTCAGACAGGTCGGGTTATTTATTCGCCGCTCGTTTCTCCATGCTTCCTGATCAAAGGCCTGTTTGAGCTTCAGTGGCACCTCGAGCTCCTAGCTGTCTGTTCCTGGTCGTTCAGCCACCCGAGTGTCTTCAGCACAGGTTAAATGGACTTTCCAGAGACACACACGGCTCCTTCTGCTAATTGCCAGTCATTCACAAGTTTAATGAGGCTGTCGCAACACAAACAGCCTTCTGTGCTGTTTCTGCATGCTAGATATGAAGAGTTCAGATGCAAAAGCCTCTAAATGCCATTTGAAATTTTCTTCTTTAATGATGTTTTTGTATATTTAAGTTCAGTAATTTCACTTAAATAACAATTAATAGGTAATTATCATTGCCATTTAAGTGAAATCACTGAACTTAAATATACAAGCTTGATAAAAATGATCATTCTAGAAGAAAATTTCTAATGGCACTTAGAGGCTTTTGCATCTGAACTCTTCATATTGTAATGCATATTTCAAAATAACCATTTCACTCAAAAATGGTTAATTGCTTAATCCTTACATCACTGCGGTGAGACATTACTGAAGATTTACTGCACATCTGGGGTGCTTTGAATGCTTATATGATGTGCACGTTCTGTTTAGCAAAAACTTACACTACCGTTCAGACGTTTGGGGTCTTGTACTGTGTGGAGGTTGTACTGGCATGTGCTTCTAAAGTTGTGGTGTTCTCGTAGGTATTTAACGTCATGTTTTCCATGGTGTCAACTGCGCAGGAACCTACCCACCCATCGCCAGCTTTATTACATGCCTTTTAAAAAAAATCTCAAGTTAGTTTTTGTTCATTCATGGTCTTAGCGTCTCCTGTTACGTTTCTGCTCTCACTTCTTCATCCATTAAAAGTAGGGTGGAAAACGGAAAAGCCCCCACCTAGATTGAGCCAAAGCTTCTTGTATTTACCCACAATGCTGTCATTATAGTGTTTCCAGTGTTGCCGCGCGCTGGCACCCTTAACTACCGTGCCTGGAAGTGAGGCGCGTCTAGCGCTCTGATTTACGGGCTGATTATTGCCACGCTGTGTTTGAGTGTATGAATGCATGCTTATCTTATTGATGTTAAAGCTGAGGAAAATTGTCCTCTATTAACAGTCCAGTTCTGAAAGATTAACTCTTATTAATGCTTATTTGAAACCATTAAACATCCTAGAATCCTAGTAAAGGACGCACACATTTTTTCGTTTTTATCTGAACGTTACCCCATTATTTACGTTCTCTTTTCTCTCTGACTCTGTTGGCTCTACTGTTATGAGAGGATTGTTAGTTTGGAGGGTTTATAAGTTCGTCATCAGGCTGTTCTGGTTTTAATTACGGAGCAGTGTTCAGCAGATCTTGACTGAAAAGGGGTTTTGTACTTCATAAACAGTAGGGCTGGGTATTGAGACAAATTTCACAATTCGATTCGAATTCGATTCACAAGCTTGCTATTCGATTCGATTTCGATTCAATATCGATTATTTTGGATATCAGTTACAATAAATGGCCATTTTTCTCAAGGGAATCAAATCTCTTAAATGCTGTAAACTATGGGAGTCTAGTTGTAGCCTATAGACTTCATTAGCCTAATATGAAGGTAATAATGAACTGTTTTGTAGCTATACAAACACTTAAATTACACTTTTATTTATTTTTATAATAAGAAGATTATATGAAATATAAACATTTAAATGGTGGCTGTCATAAAAACTTGCCAGATTTATTCAAATATGCATTAAATATTGAAGAACATTAAGATTATAATGCATATGTAATACGGTGTATATATTTAGCAAAATGCTCCTATCTGGAGTTATTTTTTCTAGCTGACTATCGAGTTTATGTGGGTTTTCTGAGGTAAATATGACGACATGACATTGATTACAAGCTGTTTAACGGACGTCTTTCCGCGGTTGAAACGCTGATTGAGGGAATCAATGTGACATGATACGGATTTCGATAAGTTGTACTCTATCTTTAACACACTTTCAGATGCTCATTCATGTTTATTTCGCGCTGTGACCGGTATTATTAACCCGGAAGTGAGGTCAGCGCTGCTGCTTCTCTGGAGCTGCGCCAGAGCGATCTCACGCCACAGCGCCAAAACGCTATTTATGTTTTTGAATTTCTAAAGAAAATGGACGTAATTTGAAAATTGAGACTTTGTTTCATATCAATACTAATAAAGGACAAAGATTATTGCGATTTTTTGGATGCGCGCAGCCGCGATACAATGTCCCATTCATTCAAATGAAACAGGATGACTAATCGATTCTTGAGATTTAAGAATCGATATCGGTTCGTAAAAATGAGAATCGACTAATATCGAGAAATCGATATTTATTACCCAGCCCTAATAAACAGTAACACTGAGCTTAAAGTCTCTAGTACTCATAGATGATGATGTTTATCTTTCCAGATATGACACACAACAGCACAGACCCCTTCTCCGAGCCCACCGAATACGAGTACCTCAAGAAGGTCATGTTTGAGTACATGATGGGAAGAGAGACAAAGGTACGTTTTCAGGGTTACTTTTTACTCTTTGCGATGATGTCATTTGGGGGAAGACTGATATTTTTTTAAATATTAACTTTGTATTAAATTTAACACGACATAAGAGCTAAAGTTAGGGGCAGAGTTTGCTTACATGAGGATCAGTGTTGTTATTGTTAATTAAAACTATTCAAATCGTTGTTGTTCATTGAAATAAAGCTGCAATAAATGAAAATGAACATTAAAAATGCTGCCTTGGCAACTAACTGAAATAAAATTATGAAAACAAAAATGGAAATATAAATATTGGAAAAGGGGGGGAAAAAAAACACATTACTAAAACTAAAATTAATTTAAAAAACCTAAAAAAAAATTAATAATTGCTGTAATAGTATATAAGTACTATTAGACACTGATTTGAGGATGTCAAATTCCAGAATCCATGATTGTAATATTTTTTAACCATCTTTTGAAATTTTTGTAATATCAATCCAATGCATTAAAGGAGTGCTGATAATTCACTCACCCCCGTGTCATCCAAGATGTCAATGTCTTTCTTTCTTCAGTCGAAAAGAAATTAAGGTTTTTGATGAAAACATTCCAGGATTTTCTTCATATAATGGACTTCAATGGGGACCAAACGGTTCAAGGTCCAAATGAGAGTTTCAGTACAAACTACAAACTGTTCAAAGGACTTTAATCGATTCCAGACGATGAAAAAGGGTCTTATCAAGCGAAACGATCGCTCATTTAAAAAAAAAATAATAATCAAAGTTTAAGTTTTATGAGCTCAAATTTTGCTCAGTTCTGTGATGCGTTCGTGACTCTCCTGTTCGAACTCGTTCATCAAAATGATGTGTGTGTGCATCATATTTTTTCGTGTCATTTGGTTCATTCAACGAACAAAATGAACAAGTTGACTCTGGAAAAGATTCGTTCACAGAACAGAGCAAGGCGAGCATTTGTGCTTATAAAACTTAAACTTTGATTTTTTTTTTTTTTTTTTTAAATGAGTGATCGTTTCGCTTGATAAGACCCTTATTCATCGTCTGAAATCGTTTGAAGCTGCACTGAAACTGTCTTCTGGACCTTGAACCGTTTGGTCCCCATTGAAGTCCATTATATGGAGAAAATCCTGGAATGTTTTCATCAGAAACCTTAATTTCTTTTCGACTGAAGAAAGAAAGACGTGGACATCTTGGATGACATGGGGGTGAGTAAATTATCAAGTTTTTTTAAAAGTGAACTACTCCTTTAAGGCATTTAATGGGCACTACATACAGTATGTACGACTCATTTTCTGATTATATGTTGTAAAACTGACATTTTATCAAATTGTTCTTTCCCACAATGCACAAAGTTTTCCACAACATAATAATGCCGTTTGTTAGAGGAAGGATGCAGTAAATAAGTGTGACGGGGAGTCCGGATGGAAGCCTATAAAATGATTCGTTCCCAACAGCATAATTCCGTGTCCATTCAGCAGGACCTTAATGAGCCAATCTTGTCCGTTTAACCAGGACTAATTAACAGCCCGTTGATGCCGCCCTAAAGCCAGCGGGATTCCCCCTCGTTGCTAATAAACAGTCGGGTCCTTATGACATCACAACAGGCCTCCCTGTCAGAGAGGATGTGGCTCGTCCGCATCACATGACCCAGTAACGCCTGCCATTTTAAGAGAGTTGCTCGGGGTAAACGGCTGTGCTGGTTCTGATTAGCGCTGGATATGGCAGATCTATCTAGGGCTGATTACCCAGCAGGCTCTGCAGATAATGAGCTTTTTGTCTTTGCGAGATGTAATTGCTCACAGAAGAGTGGGAGCAGCAGCTCCGCTAGAGATGGCCGGCAGTGTTGTATTTGTTAACTAAAACTAAAATTATAAAAATTGTTTTAAAGGGAGTTCATCCAGAAATGTACTCAACCTCAAGTTGCTCCAAACTTGTATGAGTTTCTCAAAAGTTTGAAAAATATGGGTGACCAATCAGTTAATGGACCCATTGACGTCCATAGTATGGAAACAAATACTATGGGAGTCAATGGGTCTGACATTTGTCAAAATATCTTGTGTTCAGCAGAAGAAAGGAATTCATAATTTAATAATTCCTATATATATATGTGTGTCTGTATTTTATGTATTTTTTGTATTTTATTTGTATTTTATTTAAATATATATATATATATATATATATATATATATATATGTCTATATATATTTTATATAAATAATATATATATATATTTTATTTATAAATAAAACAAAATATATACATATATATAAATACATATATATATATATATATATCCTTTTATATATGTGTATATATGAAGAGTTCAGATGCAAAAGCCTCTAAATGCCATTTGAAATTTTCTTCTTTAATGATGATTTTTGTCGAACTTGTATATTTAAGTTCAGTAATTTCACTTAAATAACAATTAATAGGTAATTATCATTGCCATTTAAGTGAAATCACTGAACTTAAATATACAAGCTTGACAAAAATCATCATTAAAGAAGAAAATTTCAAATGGCATTTAGAGGCTTTTGCATCTGAACTCTTCATATGGATATGTCCTATTATATATGTGTATAGTATATACAGTATATATATATATATATATATATATATGTGTATTTTATTTATAAATAAAAAATATATATAAATATATATATATATATATATATATATGTATTTATATATATATTTTTTTATTTATAAATAAAATACACACAGACATATATATATCCTTTTATATTTATTTATATTTATTATATATATATATATATATATATATATATATATAATATATGTGTGTATATATATATATAATATATATATATATATATATCCTATTATATATGTGTATATATATATATAGTATATGTTTGTGTGTGTGTGTATATATATATATATATATATATATATATATAATATTAAAAAACAAAAACTCATAACAATGAGAAAAGCACAACAAAATTACTAAAATATAAATCTAATTCAAATAATTAATAAACATCAATAATATTGAGCACGGGTCTGTTTACTGTATATCCCTCTACCTGCATGTATGCTTCATTTGAATAAATGGGTAACATCACTTATGAACAAATATAATCATTAAGTTCTTTCTTGTTCTTAAATAACAGTGTAATTTTAGATGCTGATTTGATATGAGATCATTTTCTTTTTTGTTTCTTTAGACGATGGCCAAAGTTATAACATCCATGCTGAAGTTTCCTCCGGACCAGGCGCAGAAGGTTCTGGAGCGGGAGGATTCTCGTGTGATGGTGAGTCGTGTGTTTAGTATGGAGAAGCAGCTGTGGGTTTAAACGTAACCTTCAAAGACTCTCCGAAACCCTCCATATGTTAACAGTCGGACTGAAACCGGTGTCCCAGATGTGTGTGCTGATGCTCAGTGTGTATGTGCCGATCCTCACGGTTGCTTCACGTGCAGAAAGGGAGCCGCACATATGTGTTGCTTATCCAATACTTTATGGTTTGTTATCAGGTTTCCCTTCCAATATTCCCTTACATTCATATAGTATCATAATTTCAGGAAACTGAATTCATGACGTTTATTTCATTTTAGTCATTTGTTACTTCCCACCCGCTCAGGAACTGTCAGTTCTGTAATGATTTTTAATATCCAGTAGCCTTTAGTTTACACAAGTCTCTTCTGCTCACCAAGCAGAAGAGCATTTATCATCAAAAACACAGTAAAAACTGTAATATTGTGAAATATTATAAATAATAATATAATAGAAATATTATTATAATAGAAATATTATTACAACTTAACCCTTGTGCATTGTTCAAATTGTTGAATTGGGATTTTCTACTTGCTGTTTAAATGATGTGTGTATTTTAAATATGTATGGATAGAAGCATAGCAACACCCTGGCAACCACCTGCTGCACAACACCACAGCTTCCCCCCTGTGCTCTGTCTGTTCATTTAATGCATGTCCCTGCAGCAAATAGTTACTAAAATAGTTGAAGTAACTGGGCTTCTGTTCCCCATCTGTGTGTTTTACAGCCTTGGCTCCGCTGAGGTGGAATCACAACCGGCCTGACGACCACCGACTCTCCTCCTCCTCCTCCTGCTGCTGAGGGATGCTACTGACGTGAACGAGCCCGGCCTGCTTACCTGTGTGTGTGTGTGTGTGTGTGTGAGAGAGAGAGAGAGAGAGAGAGAGAGCAGTGTGTGTGTATGTGAGAGAGAGAGATTAGTGTGTGTGTGTGTGTGTG